TGTGAGTGTTCTTTTTAGATCAACGAGGGACATCCACACCGCACCCTCGCCCGTACCCAATGTATAAAATGTAAGGTTCATTGACGCCTTAATTCAAGTCGAAACTATTTTATATAATATCATGCTCAGAAATAGTTAAATATTGTATATTGAATTGATGAATATTTCTTTGCACAAAATGTGTTTCTTCTTTGTTTTTTAGAAAAAAGCTGTTAGCACAATCCCTAACGGGATTAAAATGTGAAACACGATGTAACTATTATTTCTACCTTCACGAAGATAGTTTAATCGTATATTTATGTAGCAGATTTTGCCTCATTCTGTAGCATAAAGGTATAGAAATATAGGCAAAAAAGAGTTTAGATATGATATATTCGCGTAATTAGCGTTTTAGCAGTTGTGTGAGTGTATATATTGTAATCTCTACTTGCTTATGTCTACACCCACACCCACACCCACCCTAGTATGAGCATATAGGACGATCATAATCTATATTCTTGTCATCAGCTTCTTCTCATGGTAGAAAAAAGATCTTTGGTCGCAAAGGGTTAAATATCTTTTAATCCCAGTTGTAAAATCTATAGAAAATCAAAAAGTACACCCCATCAGTGTAATTATCACAGTGATCAATTTGAGATAAATATCTCTTATATATTTGATTGAGATAATAGATGAAATAGAAAATATAGCAAACTAAAGATGTCATATGAAGAGGATTTATATAATACATTCGACTACTATTGTCAGTCTGCATAAGTTTGAGATGATATAAAACAGACATATCAATGACGGTCGTTTTTAGAATAATGAAAAATATTGTATACAAAAATAATGAATATTAAGTGTTTGATTATCTAATGTTGTATAGTCTAAATATATAAGAATGTAACTTCTAGGATGGTCTTTTACTGGTAATATGAGTGATGCACGAGCTGGTCACACAGCATCCGTATTATCAAATGGGAAAGTATTAGTTACTGGTGGAGAAGCCATTAGTAGGTATAATGCTTTGAAAAGTGTTGAGTTGTATGATCCATCAACAGGTTCTTGGACAGTTACTGGTAACATGACTAATGCACGATTTGGTCACACAGCATCTGTATTATCAAATGAGAAAGTATTAGTCACTGGTGGATCTAATGGATTTACTACTTTAAATAGTGCTGAACTATATGATCCATCTACAGGTGTTTGGACAGCTATTGGTAACATGACTGATGCACGATATGGTCACACAGCATCCACATTAGCAAATGGATTGGTTTTGATTGTTGGTGGACAGAATATTTATATTACTGTTGCTTTAAATAGTGCTGAACTGTATGATTCATCAACAGATACTTGGACAACTACTGGTAACATGTCTAATGCACGATTGATTCACACAGCATCTGTCTTATCAAATGGAAAAGTATTAGTTACTGGTGGATGGAATTCTTTTAGTGTTATAAATAGTCCTGAGCTGTACGATCCATCCACAGGTACATGGGCAACTACTGGTAACATGACTATTCCACGAGATCATAGCACAGCATCTGTATTATCAAATGGAAAAGTATTAGTTACTGCTGGAGACAATGTTAATATTACTTTAAGTAGTGCTGAATTATATGATCCATCAACAGGTACATGGACAACTACTGGTAACATGAATAATGCACGAGAACATCATACAGCATCTGTCTTATCAAATGGAAAAGTATTAATTACTGGTGGATGGAATGGTGCTAGTTATTTAAATAGTGCAGAATTATATTAATTATTCTAAATAAATTAACTGTCAATTCTTTTATTCTTTTTCTAGCAAGTGATGTAAATTTCAAACAAAGTTTTAGTTAGAAAAAATGTCAGCTTGTGACGCCCGCTAACTGTTTCGTTTGATACGAGTTTAGTGGAAAA